CCTTATAAGCACTGCCTCCAACATGGTGGACAAACAGGTTAGTCACATGCAAAAGAGGGCCATTGCCTAACAGTAGGCTTGATTAGTTCTATTCTTCATAGAGGGTCATGTGCCCCATCACCTGACCTGTGTTGTGTTATGTGTATGTAGAGAATGCAAGCGGGGGTTCAAAGTCCCCTGGTTTTTGTCCCTCTTTGTGTTGGGTGTCATCATCACCTCTTTTGCATGTGACTAAATAGAGCCATTGTTAGGCGATGGCCCTCTTTTGCATGTAACTAACCTGTTTGTCCACCATGTGGAGGCAGTGCTTATAAGGCTGAGTTCACCTGAAACTCATCAGACTGAAGAAGTGTCTTGGAGGAGAGACGAAATGTTTCACTAAAGAAGAACCCATCCAGAGGACCCACTGTTTTTCTTTTTGAGAATAGAATAGAATAGAATAGAATAGAATAGAATAGAATAGAATAGAATAGAATATTAATCCCAAGGGAAATTCAACATCCAGCAGCAGATACAAACATACTGTATAACATGGCATGAAACTCCAAATAGAACCCTTTAAACCTTAATTATACCTTAAAAATACATTTAAAAGCCCTCTTAAAATCTATTTAAAAGCTACCTTAAAAAGCCATAAAGAACTACTTCCAAAAAAATCCCTTAAAAACCTATTTACAACAAGACATTCCTCACAATAATCTGCACACTTCCTTAACCGAATAGCCTTTATGACTTTGAATTAAGTGCAGAACATTTGAGTATGTGTTGTCCTTGAACAACTTCAATTTAAAAAAAAAACTGAACTCAATTCTGATTGGATTGATGAACTAATGGTAAACCTGAGTGGGGCCAAAACAGAAATGGATTGCAGCAATCTCAAAACAACTCCAGTCTTAAAACAAATCAGCAGTTTGTACAAACACTAATTTAGAAACCTTTATATTGCCATCAGTTTTGCATTCTGTGGTTATTTGCATGGGAATCTATGATTTATTACACAAATATCAGCAGTGACAGCTAGCTATAGCACTTACAATGCAGCCTGAATCACTTTTGGCAAGAGTATCATAATATTTGAACTAAACTCAACTTTTTTGTCACTGCATGAAAATACAAAAGGTAAAGACGGAAATGCAAAACTGACAGCACTGTAAAGAATAATAAAATAAAATCTGCATGAACCACTCACTGCATGGCATTTTTAAAGATTGTAGTGGTTTTAAGACAAAATTAATTCACTTTGGTCATGGTTTTGCTCAGTGGTTAGCTCATCAAGTAGGTCAGAATTAAACTCGGTTTATTTAAACTGAAGYGATTCAAAGAGCCATCTACAACAGGTAAGATGTTAATTCTTCATAACCTTTCCACAGAATCCCCCCTTTATGTGAAGTATTGTTTTAAGTGTTTGACTAAGAAATAGTTTACACCATTTTTTAAAGTATGTCAGTCAGATGTCAGATTGTTTAGTTTTATAAGCAACAACAATAAAAAAACAGAGGTCAGGTACTTTAAGTAAAAGTATATTGGCAAAAAACTTGGCAAAGTTACAAAGCCTCAAAAAATATATAAAAAAACAAGTACTGACAGTTATACACCTCTGTGAAAACACTTTTTTAACACTTAAGGTCTTCCAGCAGCTGCTTTTAGCATTTAAATTCAGGTGTWTCTTAAGAATACCTCAAGCTAAACTAGTAGATGAGACTAAARTAAAAGACAATAACATAGTTGTGTATATTTTTTCTAGCATGGTCTTTTTAAAAATATGACATTATGTTTTTGAAGATTCCTACATGGTTTAGCACAGCCCTTTGTAAAGGAGCAGGTGAGCRTGCGTACCTGGAAAGCTGGCAGTGAGGTGCTCCATCAACGCCTCCTGGTTGGCAGGTTTGTGGGCAGCGTTCATAGCAGAGATGGCCAAGCACAAGATCTCCCCCAGCGGGATGAACTGCGACTGACTGATCGGCGACATGCTGATCGGGGACACATCACCTGCAGGGGAGGGAGGAGGCACGAGCACAAGTGTGAGATCATGAATGAACAGTGGGCGCAGCGTGTGAAGCTATGATGTAATGGTCAAACAGCAGCAGTGTGCATGCCGCCTGGAACGCCTCCTCCCCTCCTCTCTGTGCTTCCTTAGCTTCTCACTGCTGCTGTAGCTGCTTCTCGCGGGTTAGCAAAGCGAGGCAGCTGCTGCAGCAGCCGGAACTGGAGCACCTGAATCCGTGCGAACTGCTCACCCAATTTGCAGTGTCAGAATAAAAAAAGAAAAGAAAAAAGAAAAACGACAAGAATTGAAGTTATTCTGCTTCAGGTTCAAGTGGAGAGCTAGCACACGGAAATTCTCAGTCGCCATAAGCTGGCTTTGCTGTCAGCCATAATGAATGATGAGATCATCCTGCAACCAGAAAGCTCGGCTTCAAACCCCTCCGAGAGCCAACATCTGTCTAGCTGGATGGTTGTAAAGCAACACAGCGAATGCACCGCTGCAGCATCTGTGCTGTAGTGACCCTGTGCTCTGACCTACATCTGAGAATCACACGAGAAGATGAAAAATCTCCAACATCAAAGCCTCTAYGTTTTAGTCTAATTCGACTTTATCTTCCCCTCATTTTGAGACCTAGAAAACAGAAAAACATTATTCATCGCAGCGCTCAAGTTCGGTCATCATTCGACGCCCGTGTTTCTTTAACTTAAGCAGGAATGTGCACTTGGCTCAGCCTTCATAGCACGTTCAGCTGAATGGTCAGTTAAGCAATGCGATGACGTTATCTCTCCTTAGTGTCACAAACCCCCTTAGCTTTATGTGGCTGTACTGGGCTTTACTTTCAAAAAAGGCCTGATCTGTTTGTGAAACTGCACCAAGAAAGCATCTCTCACTGGGATTTTTTTGATGGCTTCTTTTAGCCTTTATTGACACARGAGAAGTAAGCACCTACCTACAAATAAAATGATGCATGACGACATTACTACATGACTGAGATGGRAAGGAGGCTCCATCCAGCAAGTAATTGATATACACATAAAAAACACACACCAAAAACTGTTGAAAATTGTCCATTTTCGGTAAATGTTTATCACTAGTGAACAGATCAGGAAACCCACTGAGATGCAGAGGAACAGACCTGTCACATCATCCGAGTGACCATTGGATCTAAAATGAGYACAAACTTTTTCTGCAACAAGAAAAGAATGAAACTCTCTTTCACYGAACCTTTTTGACTTAATCTACAAGAAATGGGAAGAAAAGGGAGGATGCCATAAACATTTCTTTCTTGACTAGATCAAATCAAGACTTTCCAAACTCAGAGCAGCCTTGCGTAGAGGAGGTGGAGCTTCTGATGGGGGTGGGGGGGGGGTGGCGTGTCACACTCACCTGGTGCACGATAACTTGGCGGGGACGGAGAGAAATGCGGAGGAGGAGGAGGAAGATGCTGCTTCTGCACACGGATGTCTTTCTCACTACGAGAGAGATTATGATCCAGTGGGCGTTCGGGAAGCTCCGAGCTGGGCCAGGCCCGCCGCAGGTTGCCGCTGCGGTTCTTCTTCATCGTGACCCCCC